GTCCAAAACATAGCCTTAATTGAAATTAAGTACATCAGTACTCTTAATTCATGAAAAGTTGATATTTTGATAATAGTTTGGACAAACTCGAAATATTCAAATAACACAAAGAAATCGACTCCATATCATACAGGGCGTGCTAAAATTACTATTATTTCCATTGTGCATAAAAGTAGTCAAAAGTTCATTTTTCAAAATGAAACCCCCTGTATATTACTTGGTAAATTGAAAGATGATGAAAAATGCTTCAAGATGATATATCATGTCCCTATACCTAAATCGTCAAGTTTTCCCAATAAAGTCGCTTCTTGTAGAAACATTATTATTTCTTAGAATTTGGATTTAGGTAGCAGTGGAATTATCAAGCTTATAGCAGTTCGGTTACATTTATAAGTAATTTACAAAGAGTTATCGATGGTGTTTCGAATAATCTTCCAAAATGAATGCAAATATCGATTATTCAAACGAAGTTCTTATGAAATTATTTATTATACACATGAACAAAGTGATCAAATCATTGTCAGAACGTGTAAAAAATTCAACCAAATGTATCCTGAATTAACACCAATGAAGAGAGGAAATTTGTTAGGTTACAAAATAATTTCCTTAACTATGGCTCAAAGTTTCCAGGGAACAACTGTACCAAAAATCAGTCATTTCTAGGTAAGAAGTAAGATTTTGTGGGCTAAAACATGTGAAAGTACAGACAATAACAGAATAGGATGATTGAAAATAACAAAATTGTAAACAAAATATCACATTTTCACAATAAATGCTGAAAATGTTGTTCATTACATTCTAAACACTTCAAAATGTTTTTTTGTACGCGAATTGTGGTTGCTTTTTCAATTTCCTGGGGATCTAGATCTTCAATACGCCGCACTATTCGCCGTCGCAATTCTTCTTTGGTAGGCACTGGAGTACTGTATACCCTTCCTTTCAAAACACCCCATAAAAAAAGTCAAGTGGCGTGAAATCGGGTGATCTCGGTGGCCAATCCCACGGCCCTAAACGTCTTAACCAACGATCGTCGAAGAGTTCGTCAAGTTTCCTGGAAACTTCCTGGGTGGAATGAGCTGGCGCTCTGTCCAGTTGAAACCATGAGTTCCTATATTCCTCTAAAGGCAAATTTTCAAGAAAACCGGTTACAGTCGTCCTCAATATTTGGAGATATCTCTCTGCATTCGGTGTGTCTTCATAAATAAAAAAGCTAATTTTATTGTTCTTCAGAATACAGAAAACATTCAGGTCAAATTTTTATTGAAATCCAATTTCTTTTGTAACATGAGGATTATGATCAGCCCCAAAATGTTCATTTCTTCTATTGAAAATAATATCCCTCGTAAATTTTGATTCGTCGCTCCAAATTATTTTTGACAAAAATTCCCGATCTTCCTGTGTATGAATCAAAAGGGATTCACAAAAATGCATTCTACGTTCCAAGTCTTCTGCTTTTAGAGCTTGAACTTTGGTAAATTTATACGGATGCATTCCGTGATTTTTCAGAATTCGTTGTACTGAAGCATGTGATACACCTAAATCTTTTTCTGCACTGCGAATGGAAGCTTGAAATGCTGGATATGCATAAAAATATGCCAAAACGATAACAGTATTGTCCTCATTTGAAGTAACAGGTTTTGGTAATGTTGAAGGCGCGTTTAACATGGAGCCATAGTTAAGGAAAATATTTTGTAATCTTACAAACTTTCTCTCGTTCATTGGTGTTAATTCAGGATACATTTGGTTGAATTTTCTACAAGTTTTGGCAATGATTTGATCACACTGTCCGTGCATAATAAATAATTTCATAAGAACTTCATTTGAATAATCAATAATTGCATTCATCTTTGGCGATTTTTTAAAACACCGTCAATAACCATTTATCAATTACTTATAAAAGTCACCAAACTGTCATAAGCTTGATATTTTTATGGCTACCTAGAAATCAAATTCTTTAAAAATTATTTTTTGTACAACTGTTATTGAAAATCTTTTTGATAGAAACACTTCAATCAGAACACCTACCAAAAAATTATTTAGAAAAGTTCACACATGCAGTTCGTGCTATTGGTAATATTAAATTCCTGTGAAGTTACTGACGAAGTAGTATTCAGTCCAACTATAGAAAGTCTACTCGATTCAATTAACTTAATTTGCAAGCGGAGAGTGACAAAAATTATTGAAATCAAATTTGGCTATGAAGTAATATGCATCGATATAGAAAATTGTAAATATCTCGAAAACAATCACCTCCAGCATTGTTGAGGAGGTGTACTTTTTTAATTGGAAAAGGTGTGAGAATTAGGTTTTTTCATGGGAAGTACCAAAAGTTCATTGTCAAAAAAGTAAGGGGAATTTGAAATAAATAATGACAGCGCACGCAGTGCTCTCTAGATGTTACATGAAAATTAATACGAAATTATGATTTCCCACGTCAAAAAAACCCCAGGTACCGAATTTTGTGCGAATAACTTTTTCATTTGCGAGAGTTATTTTGAAAAAGCGAGCAAAAAAATTTAATTTTAACACCCCGTATCTCCGAAACGAAGCATTTTTGTACACAAGTTTATATAGACTTTTTTTTTAATTATCTCAGGAATACGTCAATTGAAAATTTTAACGTACCTATGTTACACCCTGTATATTAACTTAAGCCAGTGGGTTCAGTAGTGGCGTGATACGAGTTCCATTTATTCTACAGCCACACCAAAAGGTGGTGAATCTCAATTTGTTAGCCTACATAGCCTTTTCATTGATGATGTGTTGATTAAAACTATACTTAAGAAACTCCGTCAATATTGAATACATTGAATCATGAAAGCTCTAATGAAAAGTAGAAATAACAAACCTGCGTCCCAATGATTTGCAAAGAAAAATATCGAATATAAGAAATATCAAGCCTTCTTTGATCTCTTTCCCAAAACAATTGAGCAAATGCTATCCAACTCACCTTCTGTATTTCATTTCCCTTCATATTCAACTTGATCAAACGAAGTCCGTAAAAGCTGTAACTAGGCAGGTCGTTTATTTCGTTGGCCTCCAAATCAAGTGCAATCAGCTTATTCAGACCCTTAAAAGCTTTCTGCGGGATTTCTTTCAGGCGTCCCGAAACTAAACTGAAAGATTCGAGTTGTGGTTTCAACTGAAACAAGCAGTCGTCGTGCAGCTCCTGTATATTACTTTGAGATATTTGTAAGTGCTTGATGATCGATGTTTCAGGAAAGAAGTTTTTCGGTAGTCTAACCTACAAAATGAAAGTATTTTCAGTATTTAAACGCCGTAGTCTCCTGAAGTAAAGTTTTATATCCCCGATATTTTTTTGGGGAATGTAAATGCCATGATTGAGAAAATAAATCATCAGTTTTTCTTCTCCATCGTTCGGAAAAAGAAAGATTTTTGGCTGTCTACTTTTCCGAAACTTCCGAAGAAAGGAAGAAAGTATCAAGCTCAAAATAAACTCTTCACAAAGATGTGAAGATCTTCCGAAGATACAGATGAAAATTGGAGAGAAGCACTCCCAAATGAGTACTTCCATATGAACTTTGAGTTACAAGAAAAAATACATTCGGAACGACTGCTTCAATATGAACAATGAATCATACGAAAATCACTTTCTTCCAAACAACTGATATGCATTTGGATCAGATACCATTCATAGAAACTCTACACATCGTAATTTCATGAATGAATTGAGTTCTTCATCCTATAATCTGGTCCAAATTGGTGGTGAGGAGAAATCTGAAACATCGGATGTCTGACATTGAGGATGACATTGTTCTGAGTAAGTGAAATTTCACCATTTCATACACTGATATATATTTCACTAGTTCGGACTTCCATTGTCTACTATATAAAATGATTTCAAATCCCTGAAATAACTAAAAAAGAAGAATTAAAAATGAATAGCTGAAAATAACAATTATACTAAGCAAAATAAACCTGAAATGAAATAATAGTGAAATAAACTACAAGTAAAAATATAACAATTGAATGAATAAAAACGAAATAAAAATAAAGGAATGAAAAAAGAAAATGAAAATAAAAAGTGTAGTGATTCCAAGTCACGTTAGTTCACGACGTTTCGATTGTTAGTATCTACAATCGTCTTCACTTTCACTTATCCCTGCTTTCCATTTTCCGCTTCACTGGTTCCGTGGGAGATGACCGTTTTGGCGGGAGTTGGCCATTTTTTTTCTCTTCCTTAGGAGGCCCCTGCTGTCTTCTAGCCAAAGCCTTTTCTACCTTCGCTTTGGAGTAGCCATTCCGTTGAAGATCATTTTTGATGATGTCTAGTTCCTTCTCGAGACCTTCCTTCGTATTACAGAGCCCAAAAGCACGGTCTAATGGAGTCTTGATGATTCTTATTTTAGTCGATTGATGCTGGTTGGATTCGTGGTTCAGATACTGTCCCGTATGAGTGGGTTTTAGGTATACAGATGTTTCCCAGTTAGTGTCGGTCCTCTTCACCAAAATGTCTAAGAATGGTAATTCGTTGTGGATTTCCTTCTCCATTGTGAAAGTGATGGAAGGTCCCACGCTGTTGATGTGTTTCAGGAAGGCGTCTAGTTCAGTATTCCCATGGTTCCATATTATGAAGGGGTCGTCAACATATCTCAACCAGACTCGGGGTTTCTTGTAGGCTTCTTCAATGGCCAGAGTTTCAAACCACTCCATATATATGTTGGCTTTGACTGGTGAAAGTGGCGATCCCATTGGCAGTCCCTCATCTTAGGTTAAGAATTCGTCCTTCAGTTGGAAATAACAGTTTCGTACACAGCATCCTAGTAATTCCATAATTACTTCTATAGGTAGATTCGTTCTCTCTTTCAGGTTCCCGTCTTCGGATAACTTTCTCTATATGATTTGGAGTGTTTCTTCGACCGGAACGTTGGTGTAAAGGCTTTCCACGTCGAAACTAATTACTTGATCTTCCTGTGTGACCTCAATTGACCCTAGTAGTTCGACAAAATGCTTTGAATTCTTCACAAAAGACGATGTTTTTCCTTGTAATGGTTGTATTGAGGAAATAAAAATCTAGACAAGTTTTGAGTAGCCTAAGCGGAACGTCCTTCTTGTGGATTTTGGGTAGTCCATACAAGTGAGGGGGTTTACTGTGGTGCGGTGTTAGCCATGATCTTTCCTTGTCCGAAAAATAGACTTGGTGTTTTTTCAAAATCTGGTACAACTTCCTTTCGATTGATGCAGTAGGGTCCCGTACGATCTTTGTGTATCGTCCCTTCTGGAGAACGGCTTCGATCTTCTGTTCGTAGATAACGGTATCCATTACCACAGTAGCGTTTTCTTCATCTGCATGTAGGATCTTGATAGTGTTGTATCTACGTAGGCCGTTCAGAGCTATACGTTCTTCATTGCTGATGTTAGATGTTGGAACTGGTTCTCGATTCAGCTGTTCTCTAATTTTCTATCTGAACTCTTCTGCCGTACTCTTGGCCTCTGTAATACGAAGGAAGGTCTCGAGAAGAAACTAGACACCATCAAAAATGATCTTCAACGGAATGGCTACTCCAAAGCAATGGTAGGAAAGACTTTGGCTGAAAAACAGCAGGAGCCTCGCAAGGAAGAGAAGCCATCACAACTAGTGCTTGCACTTCCCTACATCAGAGGATCATCGGAGAGGATAAAAAGAATTGATTTCAAGTACAACATCAGAACCTGTTTCAGATCCGGTAACACTATCCGAAGCAGCGTCACGAAAACCAGGCCACCAAACGCGGACTGCGATTCCAAGAATTGCATTTACCGGATACCCTGTGAGTGCGGAAATGTTCGCATTGCCGAGCACAAGAAGCACACACAGCGAGGGGAAACCAGCAAATCAGGAAGAGCAGACCATGTTTGGACCCATCAATACAACATCGAGTGGTCCCAAGCTGAGATCTTGCACAGAGAGGAACATTGGTTTAGGAGAAAATTCAAGGAAGCCGCATACATGTTGTCCAACAACGTATTCAGCCAGGCCAGCGTAGAAATACGCAACATATGGAAACCCATCATCAAGCGAAAAATGGCCAACTCCCGCCAAAACGGTCATCTCCCACGGAACCAGTGAAGCGGAAAATGGAAAGCAGGGATAAGTGAAAGTATTTCAACGACCTATAAATAGTCATCTCTCGGAGGAATCAGTCCAGTCATCACCCGAAGACGATTGTAGATACTAACAATCGAAACGTCGTGAACTAACGTGACATGAAATCTCTACACTTTATATTTTTATTTTCTTTTTTCATTCCTTTATTTTTATTTTGTTTTTATTTATTCAATTGTTATATTTTTACTTGTAGTTTATTTCACTATTATGTCATTTCAGGTTTATTTTGCTCAATATAATTGTTATTTTCAACTATTCATTTTTAATTATTCTTTTTTAGTTGTTTCAGGGATTTCAAATCATTTCATATAGTGGACAATGGAAGTCCGAACTAGTGAAATTCATCATGAAACAATGTCAATCACCTTCAAACTGATATACATATTGTGTAGCAATCCTGTAGATGATATCTAGTTCAACGGAAAATGGTCGGAAATGTATGCACTAGACTGTTCAAACTTGACCTACAATGTTTTCTCAGAGATACTATTGTATTATTTTGAAATTTCCTTTCCATTAAGGATATTCACTATAAAAACAAGAAAGGGCAATTATTATATTATGACACCTGAATTGCAAAAATTGAAACATAATGTAACTTTGTATATCTCAATTGCTAAGCAGGATGACAACTACAAAGAAATAAGTAAATATTACAGTAAACTATACAGAGAAAAATTAATTTGTGCAAGAAAAGGGTATCATGATTATCAAATTCTGAATTCTGATAACAAATCAAAAACTACTTGACAGTCTTAAATAGTGTGAACAGGTATTTGCCTGTATAAGCTGCCCAGCAGCTTATATGATTGAATTCGATGTTCTTTAAAAGGGTGTTTTTTTAGTTTTTTGATCTACAGTGTGTCTCACTTCTCATGGAAACACCCCCGTATTTTCCGTAATATTCGAGGTAGAAAGGTGGAAGTCTCAGGACTGATGTAAATGCTCAAAATGCACCTACCACCTGAATGGAGTTGGCCAAAGTGATATACACTGTCCGCCACTCGCGATGGAACACCCCATTTTTATGGTAAAACATATTAGGGGGCAAAATAGGCTCAAAATTCCTTCAGATTCGTGATCAGGACTACCAACTTACTACGATAACCTTTTTCTCCTGAAAAACTTTCAGTCCTGAAAAATTCGAATTTGTCTCACTTCTTATGGAAACACCCCCGTATTTTCCGTAATATTCGAGGTAGAACGATGGAAGTCTCAGGACTGATGGAAATACTCAAAATGCACCTACCACCTGAATGGGGTTGGCCAAAGTGATATACACTGTCCGCCACTCGCGATGGAACACCCCATTTTTATGGTAAAACATATTAGGAGGCAAAATAGGCTCAAAATTCCTTCAGATTCGTGATCAGGACTACCAACTTACTATGATTACATTTTTTTCCTGAAAAACTTTCAGTCCTGAAAAATCCGAATTTGTCTCACTTCTTATGGAAACACCCCCGTATCTTCCGTAATATTCGAGGTGGAACGATGAAACTCTCAGGACTGATGGAAATACTCAAAATGCACCTACCACCTGAATGGGGTTGGCCAAAGTGATATACACTGTCCGCCACTCGCGATGGAACACCCCATTTTTACGGTAAAACATATTACAACTCTTCTGAAAAGAAGGTAGGTCACGTATATGATGAATTACTCTCGGTTTGCCTAGACATAGTTATTGTAATCACTTTAAAGAGGGAATTTATAAACTCGTCAAAGAATTTCTAAGTGTAAAGCAACATCTTCTTTCTGGTAGACAGATAGTTGCTTGTACACATGAATTTCATGATTGTGTTTCTTTTCAAGTAATATTTCCAAAATCAGGCTTTGGTAAAACGGTGGTACTTTATTGTATAGTTGGATATCCGATGTTTTCTTATCATAAAATATATTGAAAATGAGAGGATTACCTAGTTTACCATGAAAAAAAAAATTAAGGAATTTATTGAGAAAGTTACTTTACCTAATTCATTTCAATGGCCTCTATAGTCGTTCCCATTTATTATTATTTCTAATGCATTAATTTACCGGATGGACCTCGGAAGTATTATGATTGGACTCCAATCTAGACCGATCTGCTACTATCATTAATAGCTTCTTAATTCACTTGTAACCGATATATAGATCATAATGTCTCGTTTTTATATACGGGGGGCAGTATAAACATTCAATCACTTTTGGCTTTTCTTATTATATTCCGGTAACGTTAAAATTTAATGAATTTAGGTAGAACAGACCATCTCAATAGATCTTAATGGTTCAAAATTGGTAATCAATAATTCTGGAGATTTGACCTCCAGTAGTTTTTTGTTTGTTTTGCAAACGTTCGATACTTATCTGATACATTGGCATTCTCAGGCATTCTATATCGGCACCTGGCGCCCAAATATTGCTATCAACATACTTTGAACCCACCCCGTCTCCACTGTGGTGAACCGATAAATGCTTGTCATAAAAATCGTGACTGCATAAACCCGTAACAAAAAAGGCACGTTACAGGCCAACCCCATTCAGGTGATAGGTGCATTTTGAGTATTTCCATCAGTCCTGAGAGTTTCATCGTTCCACCTTGAATATTACGGAAGATACGGGGGTGTTTCCATGAGGAGTGAGACACACTATATATTTATTTTCCATTTTTCAGTTTCTTATTTTATAAAAGCGTGTTTTTCAGTCTCTTTATATATATTTAATGTAAACTTTGTGATCAATCAGCCGTATATTGTTTAGAAAAATGACCATTGATATTTTCCTTTTCCGGAGAGGGAACCTGAAAATCAGCTACCAAAAATCCAAGGAAAACAGCAGGCGCGCAAAGGAGGGCTACAAATAGGGCAGCAGGCGTGGGTGTTAATAAAAAACAATACTTTTTTCAAATAAAGACATACATGTGAAGTGAGTTCGAATCACATCAAAGACGTTACGTACAGCGCCATCTGCCCGCAAATATATCAAGCAATAATGTCGATATATCAATAATGTTGATAATTCTTTCAAATACATATCCCGAGCTTGAGAGTTACAAACAAACATACATACATAGATACAGGTGAAGCGTGTAGAAATAGATTGTGATTTTCATTATTGACTCACCAGAGTTTTATCTGGGTCATATACACTGAGGCTTTGAATTGGACCACCAATGATTTCCAAGGCTGACTTGAGTGATTCAGCGGTAGCTGCCGGGCATTCGAGAAATATCCCATTTTCGAAGTTGAAGCAATGGCAAGACGGATTGGCTGCTAGACTAGGACATTTGGTTTGGTCGGCGAGTGAAGTCGAGCTGACCAGACTAACTAGGAGTATTAAAGTGGCGCCATATAGCGCCATCATGAGTACTTCCTTCTCGATGCCATATTCCTCTCAGGTGGTTGACTTCAATATTCTGAAACACAGGAGTTCAACTTGAGAATTCAAAACTCACATAATGCACATAAGATATATGAATATTATTAGATATATTATTTATGAAACATTGATTGAAATTCATAAAAATAGATCCTACTACATTTTACAATCGCAACAACAGCAGAAACTGAAGTCATTTTTTTTGAATCACTGTTTTCATTCCACAGATGAATATATGTTATATAACTTAGAAAATTCGTGTGACTTCGAGTAACGATTGTTCCCATTTTTAACAGTAGTTGTTTGATGTTTGATTGTATTTGTTATCGTGAACATTGTTCTGTCATAAAAGTATTGTGATATTTGTATATTATTCGTATGTATGATGATATATACTGAATAATACTGATAACCGTTTACTAAAATTGAAAAATAATTATTGATAAATAACTCATAATTTTATCACAACTTCCTCAAGCACGTTATTTTAGGTAACATCCCTCCGCCTTCGGCGTCGGGATGTTACCAAATAACGTGCTTTCGAAAACTGTGATAAAATTATTTCGTTAGTTATCAATGTCCTTGGGATATTATAGCTGAAAATGATCCAATCTACGCGAAGGAAACTTCAACACATGGCGTTATTGACAAATTCCGAGATTCATTTTTGATGTCAGTCAAGGATAACTGGATTTTTGAAGAAAAAAGCAGTATAAATATGCTTAAGGTTTCTTACGCATTCATTACCGTTCAAATCGCTGATAACTATCACTAGATAGTATGGAAAATGCTAATGTACTAGGGATTAGTTTGAATATTCGAAAAACAAATTTGAATAAGTGAATGTAACAAAATATTTTTTGTGGTTACAATAATTACTAAAACTAGGTATAATTTGTAAAATATCAGTTTTTCGTATAGTATACCTTCAATAAAAAATGTAGTGAAATTTTGAAACATTTCATTCAACTGAAAAAATGCAGGGTGTTCCACTTGAAAAAGTTGACTTATCTCTGTTTGAAAATGGATGAAACTCGACCGGTTTTACCGAGCACCCTATACAGGGTGGGCCATCGAAAACTTGACATGGAGGTTTTGGGTACTGATCTTGCAAATCTTGAAAAACGCACAAACAGGTCAATTTTTATTTGGAGGGGGCCCCATTCACAGCGTCGTCACTTCAACCCCGGAGCAGACGGGTAAACCACACTTGGAACTTTAATAGGGAACTGGGAGCGAGTCGCACATCATTTGAAAGATCTTGGAATTTTCTAAACAACGGTATACAGTTTTTTTTTAATTTGGACGAACCATATTAAATTTAGAGTTGAACTTACTTACTTTATTCTCATGTTAGCATATGCTCAAAATGTGCACCTCCAGCTTCCATGCAATCATAGAGATTCTGCTGGAAACGTTCTCGAACATTGTGGAGCATTTCCGGAGTGATTTGGCGACATTCATTTGTTATTCATTGACGTAAATCTTCAAGTACAGTATAGGAGTAAGTACAGGAGTACTGTACTCCTGTACTCTGTACAGGAGTACAGTAAATTCTGCTTTTCAAATGACCCCATGAAAATAATTCTAACAGCGAAAGGTCTGGTGATGGTGGTGGCCGTTCGATAGTTCCCCGCCTCCCAATCCAGTGATGCCGAACAGGCAGAGTATAGTGTGGAGGAGTCCCATCGTGTTGGAATATTAACAGATCCTCCCGATACTTGTGATCCATTTTCAATAATATCAGTGAGAAGTATCTTCCAGAAGTTCCAAATACATTTGTCCGATTAAATTGCCTTCTGAAATAAATGGTCCAACAATACGGTCACCAAATTTTCAGCTCATACATTTAATTTTTGTGTACGTTAAGTATGACTTCATGAAAACTGTGAGGATTTGAATGAGCTCCATAGCGACAATTATGGCGATTAACTGTGCCGAAAAAAAAAAACATTCATCACTGAAGCAAATGTTGAAGACAAAATGTGGATTTTCCACCGCTCGTTCACTAACCAACTCCCAAAATTGCAAGCGTCGATCGAAATCATCTTCATTCAGTTCTGGCGTTGATTCAATCTTGTAAGGATGCATTTCGTGGGTTTTTAAAATACGTCGAATGCTAGTTCGTGACACCCCGGAAACAAATGCAACTTTTCTTGTGCTCAAAGTATGGTCAAGCTCAACATGGCCCAGAATTGCCTATTGTGTCGCCTCATTTGTTACTGGTGGTTCGATTTGCCATTTTATATTTGCTACAGATCCAGTTGCGCGAAATTTTGCAATTAAATTGAAAACATACTGTCGCGACACATTCTTCCCATGTTGTAGATTGAACATTTGTGAGCGGCTCTCACAGCACAACATCTATTTCCATAGTACAGTTCAATAAACTCAACCCTTTCTGCAATTGTGTGAACCATTGGTTTTTTAGCAACACTTTATGGCACTCACTACTAGTAATAATGTAGATATCACTTTTAACATAAAAATGAGAAATAGAAACAGCATTTTCAACCATTTCTCAATTGTAATAGTCCTCTTATCAGAGAAGAACTGAAAAATTAACAAAAAAGTAGCGTAACAAATAAATGAAAGAGTTCCAAATACATTTCAACTGAGCAGTGGCGTACAATAATTTGTTGCTATTAACAATATTGAAAAAGTTAATTATCGGAAAAAACTCTTTCGATTACGCCCAAATTTAAAAAATGTACACCATTGTTTAGAGAATTCCAAAATCTTTCAAGCGATATGGACTCGCCCCCTATTTCCTATTAATTTTCCAAGGGCTCTTCACCCCTTTGCTCCAGGGTTGAGGTGACGACGTTGTAAATGAGGAAAAAAAACTGTCTCCCTCCCAATAAAAATTGACCTATCGGAGCATTTTTTCGAATTTGCAAGATCAGTACCCAACCTATATATTGTTTCCGAAAGTTGAGATTTCAAAAACTATCATATTGATGTTGATTTACTATTCCTGAACAAAATCCACTTAATTGCTGTAGACATGAAGGTGGTGAATAAAAAAATGATTGACTGCAAAATAGGTTTTTCTGGAAATTCGAAAACAAAAATTCCTTAGAGAAAATATTGAATCGAAGGACGTATTTATATACTGGGTGTTCTATTTGAAAAAATATAACTCTCTTGTCCACGCTTGGCTGAATTACCCAATATGCGAGAAAATAATTTTGAAAGATAGTATTTATCGATATGACTGCAAAAATAATTCCGCAGTTCAAAAAATTGTTTGCTCTGATATCAATAGACCGAAGGATTCTTGTTGAATCGCGCTGTATAATCTGATTGTTATTTGACCCACGATTGTTTTATCGTGAGTATGAATGCTCAATGCACACCAAAATTACAATAACTCTTGTGAAAAGATAGGATAAGAAAAATAAGTAGCTAGGTGTTCTGTAAACAAGACAAAATTTAATTCTAACTGTACTGTTACAAGGTTTGAAACGTAATAAATTTTACACAAATGCAATATTCCACAACGGTAGGTATTTTAGAAAAGGGTTTTCAGATTGGTCTTTGGAGGTATAAACGAAGGTTTAGATTAACATAGGTGGGAGAGATCATAATAGCGGGTAATTCCCAAGATAAATGATACAAGGAATAATTAAGAAATCAAAAATGTACGGGTTGCTTGAGAAAAGATATTTGGGAATATTGAATTTTATGAGCATAAGTGAATTAATATCACTGGAGTTTTTTCCCAACAGCAAATCGTTATTTTTACACCTCAAGGTGTGAAAATAACGATTTGGTGTTGGGAAAAAATCCAGTAATATTCCCTACTACACCAAAGGTTCCAAACAGTATATCACAAGTGTATAAGTGGATTAGAAAGACCCGTAAATTTGAGATCAACTGGAAAACCCCGATTATGAATAATGAAAAATTAAACAACTCAAACGATATTAGTTAACAATACATAAAATAAAAATAATGCCATAAAACATTCTGTTTTGTTGTACAAATTTTAGAGCTGGCAAATCTAGACTGAATACTAAAAATTAAGATTAACTTGAAAAACATATGATTTCGATAGTGAGATTTTGAGACCGAACAGATTGAATCTGAGATCCCTCAAAAATAATAGCGTGCAGGAAATGACAGTAAATAGGAAATTTTGGACACTATGTTTCTCCACGACGAGGAATTTTTATATTGTTATTCCTTCTGTTTGACACAACAATGTCGAGAGTATGTCAGAAAGAATATATTTATTCAAAATATTATTTTGTTACTTTCAGTTTGGTCTACATCAATTGATGTCAGATTCCTATATACATTTTACCAGATTATAAAACATGTTTGTATCAATGAAACACTCTTTAGTTCCAATGTGTTACATTCACTGTTTGAGTTTTTTTATTTTTTCAGTCTCCTCCATTTCAATACGAAAATCGAAGTGAAACAAGATTTCACTTGTATCCTGAAAATTTTTTCATTATATCACATAACGAATAATAATTATGGTTTGAGGAAACAATCCAACTGGGTTTCAAGTTCAGTACAAAATGAATTAATGAAAGTCATGAATTACACAATTTTCATGATATATGTAACGAAATACATGTAATGCGTGTATTTTATCCATATTTTACACCCGCTAACAAAACGACCTTGCTAATAAACGTCGCTACAAAAATAGTTAATGACACTGAATTCATTTTTTAATTACCATTTTCACGGAGCCACGACGCCATTGTTATTAAAATGAATTAGTGAATATACGACTGCGTTAATGCTTACCAAAAACTGAAACACGGAGGATGACAATGCTAATGTGATTATGTTAATGAGTAAACCGCGGATTTGTAGGATTAGCAAGAGGATTATGCGGGAAATTATCCTTCATTGTGGAATATGAGCAACATCTTCACTTTTAATAGCCAAACGCGTGCCTTTGTGAAATTTTGTATTTGAATCTCGAAATTTTCAAAAAAGGTGAAAGAGTTTAGTTTCTGGAAAAAATCTTCCTGCATTTTTCCACTGTATCAACACATTAAGAATGGGGAACTTG